GGTAATAATAAAAGGTCTTGAAAAATAGATTGAGAATAAGGTAAACAATGAATATAAATTCCAGTGTTAATAGCACATCACTTCACTATTAAAATGGAGATGCAAATATATATATATATATATATATATATATATATATATATATATATATATATATATATATATATATGAACTATTTTGTATGACTCCTATGATGCTTTTTATTGATTCTCAATTGTTTTCATTTTTCATGTTTATTGCAAATAGAGCAGCAAGTCAATGGCCACAGTCTAAGGGTCAACACTTCCCCATTCAATCTGCAGGTAAATAATGCATGACACCTGAAATTAAGGTGTTCTGCCTTGTTTCAGTTGCATTTTATGTTTTTAAAAACTGCAACTACTGAGTTTGATTGTTTACTAACTGCTGCAAAATCCAATGATCACCAATACATCTGAAGGTGCCTACGGCTTATGATAAGAATGATCGAAATGTCTGGTACCCTTTACATCAAGGAGAACAAGTTCCATAACATTGAGAGAGAGAGAGAGAGAGAGAGAGAGAGAGAGAGAGAGAGAGAGAGAGAGAGAGAGAGAGAGAGAGAGAGAGAGAGAGAGAGAGAGAGAGAGAGAGAGAGAGAGAGAGAGAGAGAGAGAGAGAGAGAGAGAGAGAGAGAGAGAGAGAGAGAGAGAGAGAGAGAGAGAGAGAGAGAGAGAGAGAGAGAGAGAGAGAGAGAGAGAGAGAGAGAGAGAGAGAGAGAGAGAGAGAGAGAGAGAGAGAGAGAGAGAGAGAGAGAGAGAGAGAGAGAGAGAGAGAGAGAGAGAGAGAGAGAGAGAGAGAGAGAGAGAGAGAGAGAGAGAGAGAGAGAGAGAGAGAGAGAGAGAGAGAGAGAGAGAGAGAGAGAGAGAGAGAGAGAGAGAGAGAGAGAGAGAGAGAGAGAGAGAGAGAGAGAGAGAGAGAGAGAGAGAGAGAGAGAGAGAGAGAGAGAGAGAGAGAGAGAGAGAGAGAGAGAGAGAGAGAGAGAGAGAGAGAGAGAGAGAGAGAGAGAGAGAGAGAGAGAGAGAGAGAGAGAGAGAGAGAGGAGGAGAGAGAGAGAGAGAGAGAGAGAGAGAGAGAGAGAGAGAGAGAGAGAGAGAGAGAGAGAGAGAGAGAGAGAGAGAGAGAGAGAGAGAGAGAGAGAGAGAGAGAGAGAGAGAGAGAGGAGAGAGAGAGAGAGAGAGAGAGAGAGAGAGAGAGAGAGAGAGAGAGAGAGAGAGAGAGAGAGAGAGAGAGAGAGAGAGAGAGAGAGAGAGAGAGAGAGAGAGAGAGAGAGAGAGAGAGAGAGAGAGAGAGGAGAGAGAGAGAGAGAGAGAGAGAGAGAGAGAGAGAGAGAGAGAGAGAGAGAGAGAGAGAGAGAGAGAGAGAGAGAGAGAGAGAGAGAGAGAGAGAGAGAGAGAGAGAGAGAGAGAGAGAGAGAGAGAGAGAGAGAGAGAGAGAGAGAGAGAGAGAGAGAGAGAGAGAGAGAGAGAGAGAGAGAGAGACCACTTACTTGACTTTCTCAGTACACTATGGCTACTTTTTATAAAACTCTAGAAAATATCTTTCTGATCATCGCACTCTATTAAGAAATACTAAAGTCTGGAGACCTTTACCTCAGCAGATACAGAGAAATATGTGATGAAGCCTGCACTGTGCTCTACTGTTTCAATACCACTTAAAACATCACATTACAAACAAGAATAAATATTGAAAATATTTAAGGAATTACTAAATGATGATTGTCGACTAAATGAGTGACAAATAATTTCCAGAGCTCTCTTATATACAGTACTGTAGTTTACTTTATATAGTTAGTTTACTTCATATAGTTTACTTTAATGTTAATCACAAGAAAATGGTAGCATTTAGATAAGAAATACTGGCAAGAGAATGGGATACAAATGCAAAG